AAAACCAATCACCTTGTGTTGTTTTACAATAAACATCAGGTAATGGTAACAGAAGTTGTTCAATTTTTCGAGGAACTGGTGGACGAGTCTTACGACGTTGCTTGTGTAAATTTTTTTTTAGTGTGTTAATAGACGGTAAATTAATAAGCAAATCATTGGATCTAATATTAATTTTATGATAAATTTCTTCGACTATACGATCTATTGGACCAGAATCTTCTATAGCTTTTCGTTTTAAATTTTTTCACATTTCTAAGGCAATCTTGTCAGTTTCATCAGATAAATATGTATGTTCATCACGTGCTACAACGGACAAATCGGAATAACTTGTTGCTGATGCTGTACATTTTACACAAACCCAGTATTCGGATCCATTTTGATTTTTGTGTTTGAAACAATATCGATAACCGAGAGAACATAATTGCGTTTTACCATGTGTTGATTCAATAAATTCATCAGACATTTTTTAGGTACGAATAGAAAAAAGTTTTTTATCCCCAGTTTTGTATTCATTTTTACGAAACTATCCCGGTTAACTAATATAGCTTCGAAATTAATGAGCATTGCTCATTTGAAACTAAAAATTCAGTTAATCATTGTTTTATTGAATTGATGTCCGAATGACAACTCGTTTGCTTATTACTCATGTACCAAACAATCAACGGAAAGTAAATCCTCGACAGCAAAAAAGATATTTTTCCTTGAAAAAAAATCAATTAAAGTCAAAAATAATCAATGGAAAGTAAATCCGCGGAAAGTAAATCCTGTATACAATAATGAAATAATCACAAGAGTGAACTTATTTATCTATTTCTACCGTCATAAGGAACAATTAACAATGAAATATAACTCGCAGAATAGTAATTGGTTTATGTATGTTATATATTCTCTCGTTCTATTTCTTGTTGCTGAATTTTTTTGCATTTCTTTTTGTTGAAGCATATCTATTTAGAAGAGAACAATTTCTTGTTAAATAGAAATATATATGCAAAAATTGTACGTAATAAATATATGTTTATATTGTTTTTTTTATTTCTCCTTTATATGTATGACTTTACATGGTGAATCATTTCTGCATAAATAACAGTAACGTCCTCATTAATTGATACAACTACACGCTGCTGAGAAAACATTGAAGCTTTTTGTTTATGATGTTGAATGTAACTTTATTTCACGAGCTTTTGTCTAGATCAATCACCACACTTTGTTTATAATGCTTTATTTCTATTATAAAATTTATTACAAGAGAGCTTTTTAAAATTAATTCCCGTGTTTCAAACTTCACTGTACTCTCAAGTCAACTGTAACCAATATACAACTAAAAATATTTTCAAGGTTGTTTTTCATTAATAATTTCTAATGTTTCGATGATCGCTTGATTGCACACGCCTCCTCTTTGCTTAATTAACAGTCAAAGAAAAGAAAAGAAACGCATGAGCAGTCAAGTGGCCGTCGCGAACATTTTTTACTAAATTAATTTGTACAATATTCTCATTCTATATTTTTCATAATTACCTGATTGACAAAAAAAGTTACATGAGTGATAGACAACCTCTGTTGAACGCATCCAACAAATTGTCTGTTGGCGATGATGACGATCATGATGAAAACAAAAAACAATTTTTGACCGATAGGTATGATCTAATATTGGACTAACTTCGAGAAAAATACAATGAATTTATCATTGTTTGTAGTTTTTCTGATTGGCGTCGATGCTTCAGTAGAAAAGACAGCGCAAATAAATATTTAAAATTAGATGATGATCATGAACATAATCGCAAAGATCAAGCAGCGGGTATTTTTCGATTAGTAAGTGTATGCAGACGAAATAGAAACTGATTCATGTCTTCAATTTTTATTGTAGTTTCAATTTGCAAATCGGATCGACTTTTTGCTGATGTGTATTGCTATGTGTTTGGCAGTGCTACATGTGATTTGTATTCTAGCTAACTTAGTTATCTTCGGACTACTCACAGGAATATTTGCTATTCAATCATTTGGCAATACTTGTGAGGATCAGCACCAAACCTCAATAACACCAAATATTAATAACACTACGTACTCGCAAGGCATCGAATCCAATATATTCAACAATGGTCAGGCATATAAGTAATTCAATAAAAGCTATTATTAGTTACTATGCATTTTTTCTATTTTCCTTTGCTATCTTTTCATCCTAGACCGCCCCACAATACTGCTGCAATTTTTTTATCAACCTTACCTACACCAATGCCACCATTTCGAGAAAAAGTTACAAACATGGTTTATTGGCTATTCAGTAAGTGAAACGAACGTAGAAATTTGCTAATTACAAATAATGAGTATTGTCTTTTTTTCTTCGTCAATGTAGTTACTGGTGCCGTCCAGTTTTTGGCCAGTTCGGCTGCACATTTCATGTGGGTCTTTAGTACTAAACGACAGTTGTCTCGTATGAGTATTTCTCTCTTTCGGACACTTGTTCAACGCGTAAGTCAAATTACACGTCCGTCTATAAAAAGAAATTTTCTCCAAAGTTTAATTCCAACCTACTCTTAACTTTACTACGAATTTACAACATCTTATACTGCTTCTTTTCTAAAAATTCCAACATTCACAAATTATCAATTCTAGCAAACCAATGAAATGAGCTAACATATCTAGATGAAAGTTATATATAGGTCCATGAAGATGTTTATATGTCTGGAATTTGTACATCTAAAACTAAGGATCGAGGGATATAGTAAAAATGTATGTTCAACTTTCACTATCGTCCAAATACCAAATATTTCCTTAGAAGCTAACAAAAAATATAATCATTTTGAAACTTTATACAGCAAATACGATCATTTATTGTTTTACGAAAAACTTTCAAGTTCAGTAGATGAAGACGGCTTTACAATTAATAAAACCACAAATATTTCAATAGTTTTTCATTTGTAGATACTAGATAGTAATCTGCTAGAAATGAACGAAGGATTTCTGTTCCTATTAGGACTTCGTGCAACTATTGAATTTTTACAATATCTAGTTGTTAGTGATATTTGTGGACTTTGGGTTTTCGAAATTCTTAATTTTGAATTTTCTCTTGAAACTGTCTCCATTTAAAAAACTCATATGCATTAGCTTGTATGCAGTGTTTCACAGTTGGTAGACCTTGTATTTCTGAAATATAAATTATTCAAACTATTCTTTTTTTTCCTATAAGCTTTGAAAAGCATCCATTTTGGAAAGTTACCATCTCAGAGATACGGAATCTAATAAAAGTAAAACTCTTCATTCGAGCAACTATATATAAGTTCTTCCAATAGATACAGCTTCAACACAAAGTCTAATTGCACGAATTTTCAGAAAACCTAAGATCTTTTCGAGGTCTCTGACAACTAGACATATTTAAAATTCAATAGTACCACCGAGTCTCAATTAGAACTGAAACCGTTTTCAGGCTTCTACTAGAATGCTATCTATTACCTATAGTCAAAAAAATCATTGAAATGAAAATTGGAGTAAAGTTTAACTCGATAAATTTTTATCAGTCACTATAGCATCTCTAGTGACTTGGTAACTTGTCAAATGAAAATAAACAATTTGTCCGAAATCATATTAATAGCACAAGCAGATCGACAAAGGTTCAACTTTATAAAATAAAGCTGAGTGAAGCATTGAGTTTTTACATATAGAATTGCAGTAGGATTTTCAGATGATCTTAAGTTAAAGTGGGATTTAGAAAATGTAGATGAAGTCAACACCAAGTCGAATTTGTCCATCTCTAACTGTGTTTCTCTCTTTGTTTGTAGAATATTCCTTATATAGATACCAAGCCGACTGGTCAACTCAATAGTAAACTATTTGAGTAAGTTTTTATGATAATTTATGTTAAACAACTTCATCTAGTCCAATTATTGTATAGTAATATTACAATAATCGACAAAGGCATTGGTGTTGAGTTCGTACTGTTAACTGCAATTGTATTTCTTATGTTTGGTGCTTTAACAGCATCTTTCATTGTCAACTGGCAATTGACTTTGATCATGCTATGTTTAATACCTTTGATTTTTGGTAGTTCATTTGTATTTTCTAAGGTATGCAATATTGCTCAGTCAATTAAATATGTATGAATTGTTACAGCTGACTGCTAAGCAAGCAAGGAAAGAGTTAATGACATACTCAAAAGCAGGACAAATTGTTCAAGAAGTGTTTAGCTCACTGCGAACTGTTCTTTCTCTCAATGGTAGCAAATTTGAGCAAAAACGGTAAACAAACATATAAAAATAATTTACTTATTCTAGATCACCAAGCAACTTATTATTTTTATTGTATTTAGATACGAAAGAGAATTGAGATCAACTCGTTGGAGTAGTATACGTCAAGGTGCGATTTTTGGAATTTTTTCTGGATGGCTTGCTCTAGTGTCCTATCTAGTCTATACAATTGGTTTTATCTTTGGTGCTCTTCTTATGGGTAACGGAAATCATAATAATTTGAGTATTAGTGATATACTTGTCGTGAGTAATTCATATAATCAGTCAATAAGAAAGTGAATGTACGACTACTATATCAATTCAGGTCATCACCATCTTTGCACGATGTTTGAATTATTTCAACTTTATTGGTCCTCACTTTCAAGCATTTTCAGAAGCTCGAGGTGCTGCAACAGCAGTGTTGCAACTTATTGACGAGGTAATTTCGAGTAAATTGTGGTCTCATACTAATAGCGGTGTTTCCTGTTTGTTTATATGATCTAGGAAAGGGACACAAGTATCAATGAAACAGATGTATGGAAAGAGGATAGCGAATCAATTCATAACATCAATGGTGATATTGAATTTGACAATGTCAGCTTCTTTTATCCAACTCGACAAGAAACACCCGTTCTGCGTAACCTTTCTCTTATTGCTCGCTCTGGCCAGACAACTGCTCTTGTAGGCTCAAGTGGCTGTGGTACGTCTTTTTCAAAACGAAAACATTAAAAGGGCCTAATTTGTGCTCATACTTTATTCATAGGAAAAAGTACATGTCTATCAATGTTTCTTCGTTATTATGAACCTACATCGGGCCGAATTACGATTGATGGTCAGCCGATAACAGACTACGATGTTCACCAACTTCGACAAAACATTGCAGTTGTTAATCAAGAACCCGTATACTTTTTTCTTCATTCTTCTTGTTTCCTTGTGTTTTTTCATTTATTATCGTAACAGGTTCTGTTTGGTACGACTATCTATGAAAATATTCGTTTTGGTAAAGTAAATTCAACACGAGCAGAAATTGAAGAAGCAGCACAAGAAGCCAATGCACATCATTTTATCATGCAGTTACCAAATGTTTGTGCCAAATATTCATATTTAGCTATATATATATGTATTATTATTTCTTGTTTAGAAATATGAAACACTTGTTGGTGAACGTGGTATGCAGTTGAGTGGTGGTGAGAAACAACGTATTGCATTAGCTCGTGCTCTTGTCAAACGTCCTACATTCCTTTTGATGGACGAAGCAACAAGTGCACTTGATAATGTTAGTGAAAAACTTGTTCAAGAAGCGCTTGATCGAGCATGCAAAGGTAAAAACACTGTTTTCTTCTGATCATATTGATATATCATTCTGTATAGGTCGTACAACTATTGTGATTGCTCATCGTCTGACTACAATTCAAAATGCTGATCAAATATATGTATTGGATAATGGAAGTGTAATAGAGCAAGGTACACATGAGACATTGATGGCAAAAGAAGGAGGAAAATATAAAACAATGGTCAAACGTCAACAAATGGAAAGAATTGATGATGATCAAGATGATATGATAAGCATACAAAAAGCAACAGAAGACGAAGAAAAGTCAATATGTATGTCAATATTCTTTTGCTCATAATCTTCATGATTCTTTTTTCTCTTTTCTTAAACAGTTGAGCGCTCTCGTTCATTTAGCGATAGTCAACTTGTCGATATGCACAAAGTACAAATACTTTTACTATGCTTTAGAAAAACTATTATCATGAATCTCTTTTTTTTGTTAGGAAATTTCAAAGCCATTGATACACAGATTTGTTCTTTTAAGACTCTTGTCAATGAATAGTCCTGAATGGATCACGATTTTGATTGGTTGTATAGCGTGCATACTCAATGGAGCAGCTCAACCATTGTTTGCATTTTTACTTGCCGAAATAATCCATGTTAGTAATTCACCCATATAAATATTGTAAAAAAAGATTAATAATATTCATTGTTTTATGTCAAATCTATTGATTGTGTAGGAATTCAAATATTGTTCAACTTCTGAACGACGTCATCACGTGTTGATTAGTAGTTTTCTTTTTTTACTTTTGGGTATTTTCTTATTAATTCTTCGTTTCTTTCAAGTAAAAATGCTGATTATGGATTTTATCAATAATTTAGTCACTCTTTCGTATTTATAGTATACAGCTTTTGCTATAGCGGGATCAAAGTTGATACAACGCATTCGTTCGAAAGCCTTTGCATGCCTACTTCGTCAAGAAGTTGCTTATTTTGATCGACCTGAAAATAGTTCTGGTGCAATTTGTGTTCGTCTTTCTTCTGATGCATCAGCAGTTAAAGATATTACTGGCTCACGGTTAGGAGTCATCTGTGAAGCTACAGCACTATCATTTTTTGGTATCCTGTTTGGATGTCTTATAAGTTGGCAATTAACATTGATTGTTTTTGGTGCTGTTGTTATCCAATGTATAGTCACGTATGGAGATATGTCCCTACGTATATGGTTGAATCAACGCTATCGTCAAATTATCGGACGAGCAAGCACGGTGAGTTCAGGTTTCATTTTGAAAAACGTTCATTTTTGTAGGGAAACTATTTTTGTTATGAATTATTTGATAAATCAAATACATTGTCTTCATTCTACTTGTTCTTTTTTCTGCAGCTTGCTGTTGAGGTTATTCACAATTTGCGTACAATAAAACAGTTGTCATTAGAAAAGGAAGTGTTACGACAATATTCTGAACTTATTGATGAACTGTTTATGTTAGTCAATCGAATTTTATATATGTATAAATTTTTAATCAATCTTTTTTTTATCATAGATCTTCTTGGAAACCTCTAATACCAGCTTCAGTGACATATGGCATATTCTGGTCATTAGATACATGGACTTTAGCATTTGTGTATTGGCGTGCTGTCATTCTTATTGAAAACAATGAACTCACTTCGGATCATATTATAATGTAATTAAAACCACATTTTTTATTATCTTAGCACAATGTTTTATTATTTTTTCAATTTATTAGGGTCTTTTCTTTTGCTGTTTTTTCGCTACAAGCATTAAAGCTCATCGGACTGACGTAACACTGTGAATCTTTCGTTTAATTTTTTTCTTTTACTGTCTCCGTTATAGATCTAGACGTGTCGCTGAATCAGTCTCAGCTGCTGACACATTTTTTGAGTTATTTGATCGAAAACCAGCTATTGATAATACATCTACAGAAGGAAAAGAATTGGTAAGACAACATAGAGAATAATTTTTTTATCTCGATTCTGCATATGCCATGAATATAATATGATTCGTGTAGATTGATTTTCGTGGAGAGATAAAATTTGATCGAGTCAAATTTATTTATCCTACTCGATCAACATCTATTGTTCTTAACAAATTTCAATTAAATATCAAACCAGGTGAGTTAGATAAATTTCGACTTCATCATCTTATTAATAGTTTTTATTCACTGATAAGGTCAACGTGTGGCTCTTGTGGGTATGTTTAAATAAAATATTTCTTTTTAATATTAATTATGTAATATGTTCTATAAAGGTACATCTGGTTGCGGAAAATCAACAACTATTCAACTATTGGAACGATTCTATGATGTTACAAGTGGTCGAGTAGTTAGTATTCTTTCAACATATAGTTTAAGTAATCATACAAAATCTATTCACTCAATCTAGCTTCTTGACGGTGTTGATATCCGGCTACTAAATCTTCATTGGGTTCGTTCTCATTTTGGTCTTGTTAGTCAAGAACCTATTTTATTCGATTTAACAATTGCTGAAAACATAGCATATGGATTAGAAAATGTTCCAATGGAAGACATCATTGATGCAGCAAAGAGAGCTAATGTTCATCAATTTATTGATCAATTGCCTCAGGTTAAAGAATATAAAATTACATAATGTATCTATTACTACTTTATGATATTTCTTTTTAGGGTTATGAAACAATAGTAGGGATGAAAGGCAGTTTCTTGTCAGGTGGTGAGAAACAACGTATTGCTATTGCTCGAGTTCTTCTTCGTCGACCTAAAGTATTACTCTTAGATGAAGCTACAAGCGCCATGGACTCACATAATGAACAAGCAAGTTTATTTTTGTTTCTATTTATCCATTAAAAATTCATCTTCATTTTCCAATTATAGCTTGTACAAGAGGCTCTTGACCAAGCTCAAACCGAAGATCCTACTCGAACATCACTCATTATTGCTCATCGTCTTTCAACTATTCGTTCATGTGATTTGATTTGTGTAATTGATAGAGGATGTATAGTGGAAAGTGGTACTCATACAGAACTGACACAACGACGTGGAGTTTATTATAAAATGCTTGCTCATAATAATTTAAGTTGATTATCATTAAATTACTTTAATAATCAAAATACATTTTGTTAAACATTAAGAAAAACTTTGCCTAAACAAATCTGACACATAATATAGTTACATTGATCATTTTATTGTACAACTGTTGTCGCTCATCAAAAGTTGAGTGTTCAATCGAATTACAGATTGTCTTATTTTGACGTGTAACACAACTCTGTATCACAATCTATACAATGAAATACCGAGTGTATGTGAATTTCCTATACTTCATCCAGGAAAGATAGTACAAACAATCATTATGTCAATAACTACTTAGATATTGAGAAATTTATACTTCCTCACGTATTGATGATCTTGTAAAAGTCGAGCACTTTATGGTGATTTATTAATTTGATTAATTGTGAGATACTATTCTGACAAAATCATTCATGAAGATGATTTCTGCCCATATTTTCTTGATTTTTATTGAAAAAAATAACTTTTTCATGAATTTTCATGACTTATAATTTATACTCTACTTAAACATGTTCCAATAATTGAATTGACTCGGCAATCATGAAATTTTCCAACTGATATTGAAGAAACGAAATAAAATATTGAATGACTTGTTTCGAGATTCATATGAGCCATTCCATGTAAGCCACAGCCGATTCCTTAACACAGCGCTCAATCTATATCCACCGATATGCCTCATTTTAACATATATGATAGAGACAAGTGTTTGATAAATTTTGCCGAAAGTCGATTCAAAAAATAATGAACCGTTCGGTTTTTATCTCATTTTTACGAAAAGCATTCCAAAAAACTCACTTTTACGCGAGACAATTTTGGACACCCTAATTTCTCAACAAAATATAAATCATTGGAGCTGAAATTTTTTGTACATCAATAACTAACTAATTTCTGCTTGTAAAAAAACTTTCAGCTTCAACTGTTGAATCGCTGGTATCTTATGGACTTTACTGTTGGACAAAAAAGAACACTCTTTCGACCAACTTTTGGTGTTCATATCTGCAGATTGGAAAATAATGGAGACCTGAACTTTTGAACACAGGCATATCTTAATGCTGTCTAACTACCATATAAATTTCAGCTTTCTACAGCAAAACATTCGTGCAGATTAACTGGAACAAAAATCGATATTTCGCTGAAAAGTCGATTTTGGACCTGGATTTTCTCAAAAAACAAACCCTAACTTTTTTGCGTACCCATCTAGCGTTGAAGACCACACATTGGTCTATAACTTGCCATAAGAATAAAACTGAGACGCACACGAGCCGTTTAGAAATCGATCGATCTTTTTTGCAGAAAATATAATCTGAAAATTTTTGGTTGAGTGCCTCACTTTTTCCGAGTATCCCGCGAATAGTTCATCAGAAACAACTGAAACTCTCAGATAGGGTAGAACTAACACAACAGAGTAGAATATATGCTACACTCAAGCTTATATTATACTGGTGTACCTGTGGGATACTTGAATCTGTTTAGCTGAAAATGAATCAAAAATATATAGGAATGAGATCCGAATCAGATGATTTATATCCAGTTAGAATTGTCTTGGAATTCTGTACGAACCTACATCAAAATGTCGTTCAAAAATTAAAAAACAATTTTTTTGAAAAATTTCCCTACACCTCTCCAAGGATTGTTCCTTTAGAGTCTTTCCGAAGATTCCCGCACCCCCATGGCAATTTTTTGAAAAAAGTTTTTGTCTTTGATCTTTGAACGATATTTTGATGTAGGTTCGTACGGAGTTCCAAGTTGATTCTAACTGGATATAGATCATCTGATTCGGATCTCATTCCTATATATTTTTGATTCATTTTCAGCTAAACAGATTCAAGTATCTCACAGGTAAACAAGTATGGTATAAGCATGAGTGTAGCACATATTCTACTCTGTTGTGTTAGTTCTACCCTCTCTGAGAATTTCAGTCGTTTCTGATGCACTATTCACGGGATACTCGAAAAACGTGAGGCACTCAACAAAAAATTCTTAGAGTGCAGTTTTTGGAAAAAAAAGCGATTGATTTCTAAACGACGGGTGTGCGTCCCAAGTTTATTCTTATCCCAAGTTATAGATCAATGGGTGGTCTTCAACGGTGAGTAGGTACGCAAAAAAGTTAGGGTTTGTTTTTTTGAGAAAATCGACTTTTCAGCGAAAAATCGATTTTTGTTCCAGATACACTGCAAGAATGCTTTGTTCTAGAAATCTCAAATTTATATGGTGATTAGACAGAATAAAGATCTACTTATCACAAAATTTCGGGTCTCTATTATTTTCCAATCTGCAGATATGAACACCAAAAGTTGGTCGAAAGAGTGGTTTTTTCGTCGAACAGTACAGTCCACGCAATACCAATGATTCAACAGTTGAAGCTAAAATTTGTTTTTTCGAGTAGAACTTAGTTAGTTGTTGATGCACAGAAAATTTTAGCTCCAATGATTTGTATTTTGTTGAGAAATTAGGGTGTCCAAAATAGTACATCGTAAAAGTGAGTTTTTAGGGTGTTCTTCGTAAAAATGAGATAAAAACCGAACGGTTCAACATTTTTTGAAATTGGCTTTGGGCAAAATTCATCAAACACTTGTCTCTATTACATATGTTAAAATGAGGCAAATCAGAGAATATCGATTGAGCGCCTTCGTTCGTGGCTTATGTGGAATGGCTCATATATTAAACGAAAATTTAGATAGAATTTTCAATGTCAGTACAACCTACAGTATTGTTGATTTTTCATCAACAACTCGCATTTGATGTTACAACTGTTTTTGAAGCCATTTGATTTTTATTTTTTCTTCATCTTCGAAGACAAGAAAAGAGTTTCTTATGTGTAATATCAAGCAGTACAACTTTGGATAGCTTGTACAGAAATAATAAAATGATTTTCTTGAATCCGCTCGTTCATTGATTCTAAACCAGTAAAATTAGAATTAAAATACGGACAGTGGATGCAAATTTTTTACCTTGGTAGTTTTATAGTATGAAAGTATACATGACTCACATACTCTCACACTACGATGCCATAAAACTTGGCTGAAAGGCTATCATAAGTGAGAAACCTGACCTCAGATTTGAATGCACCATCATAGAAAATCTCCCAATCTTCATTTCAATTCCAAGAAAAGCACATTCTGAGCACATACTTTATCGATGGTAATGGAATGAAATATGAACTACACTTTCATGAAGTCTTTATTTTAGATGGTTGCTCTGTGACCAAGTTTTGATACTATCATGCGACTAACTAAAAGTAAAGAGAGAACGCTCATGATGGGCTGGTATCACATAAAGTGGATCGTACAATACGAGTAATGCTGCGGCACAGTTGTTATAAAAAAGAGATGACATCGATAATAACTTTATCATTCTTGTGGTCATGAAATCATCAATGAATCGTTATTTATTGCAAATCCTCGATGGACAGTGATTAACCATTCAAACTGAGGCGATTTGTAGGACTTGAGTGATTGTAATAGCATTAATTAAGGAAGATTCAATTTTATTCTGAAGTAATAACTAGTAATCATATTTATAGGAACAATTATTGTTAGTACCGTTTTATTGTACTCATCTTATTAGTTTTGTCAAATAATTCTTATATAAAAGAAAATTCATGAAAGATCTAATCAGTCTCTATTTTTAAAAACCGGTAATATCTTATTCTCAAGGACAAAATTTTTCAGTGTTTCATACGTATATATATGTTACGAGATAGAACATGATGTTTAATTAGATCAGCAACAATAACTTTCTAAATATTATGAAAACTCGCAAAGATATCTTAAAAATAAACATGGAACTTGCTTGATGTAACTATGCTTATCATTTCTAAGTCTAGATTACCTGTATATCTTGTAGTAGAAAAATTCCTATTCTCAACATTCAGTATGTGGGGATTCATGTGTGTATGGTTCTACGAAACACCACTATTCAAACATACATCTTTACTCATACCCACATACTGGTATGATGTTTTTAAAATGAAATCAATTCGAAAGATGGAAATCTCACTCAATCTTAAACAAAAAAAGAGGGTCAAAATAATTGCAATCCTGTTTCCATCGAATAATTCAAATGCGCGCCCGTTAGCGTCATCTTTGCAAGTCAGTAACCAAGCCAAAGAATGAGTAACCAATAAAATAAATGTAGAAACTATTCTTGTATCAATTTATTTTTTTATTATAAGTAAAAGATGAAAATCGATTAAACTCTTCTCAAAATTAGATCATATTTATTTTATTTAGTTCATCCAATATTATGTTATGATTCTTCAAATATTTCTTCATGCAATCATTGACATTATTCTAAATAACCTCAATAGAAATGAAATTTCCAACCATATTACAGTTTTTCATAATGTAACCTTTTAAATTACTACTCTGAATTACATAAGTCTATTCATTTTATTATTTCACATTATATAATTATGAAAATATTTCAACATATTTTAAAATTGTGACATATTGAATGATTGAAAGTCTATGAATGAATTATCAATTAAAACCTTTTTATAGACTTGCAAACATTTGATAAATATTTATTTCCATTCAAAAATCTGAATTGATAAGAAAAACTTTCCAAAGATACGCATGATTGTTGATTTATGTAGTACGTTATTATTTAGACTCTTCTTCGAATGAAAAATTTTAAAGTCCTTCTTTTGAATTATAACCATTCTCATGATATTTTCAATTCAAAAGTCGGTTCTGAAGGAAATCACAGGATTTTGTTGATAAACTCATTAAAATAGTCATAGCTGAAGAAGAAAGATTAATCGACATGACTCATTTTCGAATTTCTCTATTATTTCATAGGACCTACCCCTGTAAAAAAAAAGTTTCCTCAATAATCACTAAATAATCAATAAAAAATCGGTAATTTAAGCAGAAAGAATCATAAAAAAATCCGTTTGAAATCAATTATTTTGATTAATATCATTATAATTGATTTCCTACTGATTTTTATGTGAGTATTTCTGCTTAAATTATTGATTTTAATTGATTATTCTGTGATGTTTGTCCTAGTAT